CCACCCCGGACCAATGCGCACAGTTCTGAGCCAGCGAACCAGCTACCGCCGCCCCTCCCCTACCCGCCCAGAGTGTAGTTGAGCGTGCGGGAGGGGGGGGCCCGAATTGCGCGGATCTGAGCCCCCCCAGCCTGCCTTGCGCACTCGCAGGTCGGGCTGGCATCTGCACCCTTTCTGGTTCTGCTTTGGTAGGCGAAATCCCCCAGAAGTCGCCTGCGACCTCCTCCCCGCTTTCCAACCCTAGGAAGGACCCGCGATCCCGGCCGTCGCAAGCAGAACCTTCTGCCCCCGGCACACGGACCGAAGTAAATGGGCTGCGCGCCCCGGAGGAGTAGCCAGCCTCTCCCCTACCCAGCGCTTGTTGGGCTTTGTGCCCCGGGGAATGGGAAGTCGCTAGCTCAGAGAAGCGACAGTATGATGGCGATGGACAAGGCGGGGGGGGGGGGTGGCTAGGACGTCTCAGCAGTCCAGTGTAATTGGGGTACTCAGGAATCCCAAGGCGCCCTCGAGCTTCCCCGAGCCTGAGGCATGCCTAGTACCCAAAGCGCCTCTAGATACCGGGCACCCTTACCACGGACCCCGCGGCCAGGCCTGAGTGCTTTGTCCCTAGCCCGCCTGGGGATGCTACCATGCGAGGGTTGGACACAGGCTCGTCTGCTGGCAGCCGCTGCTGAGCCATGGGGCTTGGTGCCTGGGACTGCAGGCGCGCGTGTGCCGGCGGAAAGTTCCCACAGTTGCAAAGAGGAGCGAAGTACTCGTTCCAAACTTTCCAGGATTCCAAACTGAGCGCTTCCATTAAAATAAGCGGTGTGTGGGGAAAAGCATTCTGGGTATTAGCATGCAAATGAACGGGCCCGGCTTCCAGCTCTGCTCAGGATTCCTACTTCCCTGCTCCTAGCTTGCGCCCAGCCACACGCTCACTGGGGCTTCCCGAATGATACTGTGAGAGGACCTGAGTTCAAATCCTAGACCCGAGTTCTCTGGTGGTTTCCTCAGGCTAGTTGCTTGACTTCTGTGAGCCAGTTTCCTAACCTGTGCACTGGAGAGAGCATCTTTCTCATAAGGTGAGAAGGATTTAAAGATCATGTCAATGTAGAGCCTAATTCTGGGTCTCTGCATACCTCCACCCCCTCAGACATAGTACCTGCCAGTTACTATGTTGTACAGCGAATGAATAAGGCTTGAGGAAAATTCCCCAAACATTTCACAGCAAGCTAGTTACTGTCTTAACCTCTCGGCCACAGTATTTTGGAGCAGCAGATTCTAGGAACTGGAAATTTCTGTGTTCAGAAGTGTTGCTCAGAGGTAGAACATTGAGCTACCAGGTGCAAGGCTCATTCGTCCCCAGACACAGGATTGGAGCGCAGCCACAAAGAAAGGATCTGATTACTCAGTGCTCACTCTGCACACATGTCCCCTAAATTCATGTGGCTATTCCCATTTACACCAGAGAAAGTGGGGAAGTGACTTGCCCGAGGCCATGCTGATATTAGTGGAGCCTGGAGTCAATCCAATCGTGCTATCTTCATCAGAGTCTCTGAACCCCACCATCGGTTCTCAGTGGGCTGTGTGCTTAGATATCTAAGTGTCATAACTAGCAGCATTCCATAGGGCTCACCTTGCAAAGGGATAGGAGTCTTCACCCAGTTTTTTTCGGTGAAAAAAACAAGGAACATGCATTAGCCCCATTTTGCAAATAAGACGCCTGAGGCTAAAGGAACAAAATGGCCCAGGATCCCATCATGGAGAAGTGACTAGAGACTGCTGTGAAGACCGGTTCTAACCCTAGCCCAGAGCTTTTACCTACATGTTGCCTTGGCACTGTAATCATGCAGGGGCCAGAGAGTTTCTTCTATAACCATGTTCTCCATCTTGCCCACCTTCTGGGCCACCAAGGCATCTGTTCTATAACTTTGAGCTTCAAGATGTACTTAGAAGGTGTCACTACATAGGCCAGGCTGGCCTCAAGCTTGCACTCCTGCCTGTGCTGGAGTTACAGGCATACTCCACAAGCCCAGCTCCTATGTTTAACTTTGTGTGGAACCATCAAACTTTTCTGTGGTGGCTGCACTTTTAAAACTCTCCCATACATACCTTTTTAGAAGTGATTTTAGAGCTTTTCAAAACTCCTCTCTTGTGAAGAAGCAAGCTGAGGTTCAGAAACTAACTTGTCTAAGCTCAAATATAAGGGTCCACACTAAAGCCTCCCATCCCCTTCTCTCCACTGTAAAGACTATCTACCTGAGTATTCATTGGTTTAACAAGCCTGCCCAGTGAACAAACTGAGAGAGAACCATATTTATGAAGATCTCTTCCCTTCCATATGTGTTGACAGAGCCTATCGCCATGTTCCCAGTGTCTAGGCTATACCTTGAAGAGATGCAGGGCTCTCAATCCTTGAGTCTGCTTCCTACCACTGGCCTGTTGGACCTTCTTCGGTTGCCATGGAAACTATCCACCTCGGTTTTGGCAGCGCACCAGCTGGATAGCAAACTGAAAGCATCTTTGTCTTCCAGGCTAAGTAGAGCCGTCAATGTCATTCATTCATTTATTCCTTAGATTGGTGTTGATTGAGCACCTACTAAGCACCAGCTTTTGTTTTTGTTTGGGGGATTTTATTTTAGATGCTAGAGAATACAGTAGTAAACAAACTACAGATCCTGCCATCAAGGATTCCAAAGCCTAGAGAAGGGGACAAACAAAACATAAGGACACAAAAAGTCTTCTGGCTTCTGTCCCTCCAATCCCTCCTCCAGTCTCCTTCTGGATCATTCCACCAGCCCAGACTGAAGTAACAGCTCCTTTCAACTCTACCTTGCTGTGTTCATTGTTTCTGTTTTCCTGATGGCAAAGGCCATAGGCATTGCAGAAATGCAAAAAGAAACAGAGATAAGGACCTGCAATTTTACCACCAGGAGCTACCAACATTTCCTTTTTTCCTTTTGGTCTTTTTCCATGTATGGCTATTTTTCTTTTGTTGTTTTATCTTTGATTTTCTACTTTCTTTAGAATGTTTAGAATGTTTTTGTATTCTTTTGTATGTGTGTACAATGGATTTTGATCATGTACAACCCAAATGCCTCCTCCCACCCACCTCTGGATCCCTCCAATACCACCTCCTCCCACCCTCATAACCTCCGCCCCCACCTTTTTTTTATTAGCTCAGAGTCCAGCTAGTGCTCATGGGTATGAGGCAGTCTACCTGAGTGTGGGCCACACCCCCAAAGGAAGATTGCTGTCTTTCCAGCAGCCATCAGTTGCCAATAGCTCTCCAGCTGGGGATACAGCCTCCTGAGCTGCTCTCTCATCCAGGATGGAATGTTGACTGGCGCAAGAGCTATGTCATGTCAGAAAGTCAGCATTCCACAGCACTCTCCCGTTTTTGCTATGTTGCCCAGGCGACCTTGAATTCACAATCCTCTGTCACAACCTCCCAAATAACCAGGAGGACAAGTATGTGCCCCTAAGGTTAGGGATTTTTATGCCCACAACTTTTAGTATTATTTTATACATGGCTTTATAATCTTGTTTCAGAAATGTGTTTCTGGGCTGGCAAAATGGTTCAGCAGGTAAAAGCACTTACTGCTGAGCTTGACAACTGGAGTTCATTCCCTGGGATGTATTTTCTGCCTGGCACAGGCCTGTAATCCCAGCACTCCGGAAGCAGAGGCAGTAGAGTGGCCTACAAGTCCAAGGCCAACCTGTTCTACATAGTGAGTACCCACCCAATCAGGGCTAATAGACCCTGGCTAAAACAAAAGCTCCAAACAAAAATATATTTTTTCCCAACACATTTCAAAGTTCCCCAAAGGCCAAGGCACTCAAGATACCAGCAGACACTGGGAGAGCTGACTGCTGACAGGGTGCTAAGACTGCCTTGTTTTACCCTCCACAACAGCCCTAGGTGGTGCCTACTGTGATGACTCCCATTTTACAGACATTGCCAAATGGGCCAATGGGAAAGAGATGAACAAAGCCCATATGGCAAGGCTGAGGGACTTCTATGGGTTCTAGAGGCTTTTCCCCAAACACCTGGGCTGCCAGGCTTCATTGAGGACCCTTGGGACAATGAAGGAATAAACATGGAGATGAGGTACCCTACTTCCTCCCAGGAAGAGAGGAACCACCCTACTCACTGTTATCAGACTAGCTTACAGGCCTGAGGAGCCAGCCCACTTCCTTCACCCAAGAAGGCAGTTCTTGGAGCAGTCAGTCTCAAGTGGGGACAGAGTTTGGCTACAGGCAGACCCAAGTTCAAAGTTCAAATTACAACCTTGCCTCTAGCTAACAGTATAGCTTTGTGAAAGATGCCAGTTGAGTTAGTCCTCTAAGCCTTCCTCTGAGGAATAGAGTCGTAGAGTCATTTCCACCTTTTTATTATCATTTGTATTGGGGGCAGGGGTCTTTATTTTAGACAGTCTTTCTGTGTATCCCAAACTGGTCTCAAACTTGCAGTTTGTTTTTGAGGAGTTTGTGGTTTAGGGATCAAACTCCAAGCGTGGGAATGCTAGGCAAGTGCTTTACCACTGAGCTATATCCCCAGTTCTTTTTGTTTTCCTTCTTGATAATTAGCTTCCCATTTCGGCAGGGAAGATGTGCAAATCACCCATCTGCCCTGGATGAATCCCATGTGCTCCATCAAGAAGCCAAAGGCTTGGGGAATTCTTACATCCCATCCGGAGTGTGCTATCTCAGCCCCTCTCTGCTGTGGTCTTGGAGCCCTGACAAGGACCTC